CACCAATGTGATTTCCGTTTTTCAGTTCGCCCCAGGCCGGGTCGAACGTCAGAAGGCGTTGCGGTTGAAGTCTTCGTGTACATTGAGTGGCGTGTGTTGCGGACGAGTTGTTGGTGTGTCTCAGTGTTCCCTGTTCCCTTTCTTTCCCTCTGACGTGTCCCCTCTGACGTATCCCCCTTTTCGTTGTCCCGACCTTTTGGTAAAGAATCGTTTCCCGTCACCTAATGTATTTACTAAACTACAAATGGGATAGCAGTGGCAAAGCAGTAAACGGTGCGGACTCAGGCCGCCAGCAAGCACCTCCGACCGATCTACCAGGAACTGCGAGTAAAGATAATCACGCCAGAAACACCTCCGAACCTAACAGGTGACTGATTACAGTTACATAATTCGCGGTCTGTACGGCATGTACACGTGGAGCAACAGCAACAAGTGTCAGTATGATGATGATAAACATGTGCACACACACAATTGTGAGAGAAGCGAGGCTGCGATGTGTTTTGGCGTTTTTTGGACGTTTCCAATGCCAAAGGAAACCAGACAACCAAGATTTTAATAAACACATACCATACACAAAGGTAAGAGGTGCAAGGCTGCAACGTCGCCTATTGGTCTTCACACTGGAGCTGTTCCCAAACGAAACCCGACGAGCAAGAAATATAAAGATGGACACACTCCATACACCAAGTTAGAAGTCCATAATTTTGGCTTCAGCTCATATTGGCAGAAAATGAGTGCATCTATGCTTTGTACCGTTGAACGTGACCCTGATGGAGTGTAACGCACGTGGCTCTACAGATTCGAGCAGGCCGGCGCGGAGCCGTCCGGATGTCGTCGTGCGGCATGTGGTCCATGTCGTCGAACGATGGTGTCGGTGTTGATGTCGGAAATTCTAGCCTAAGGAGGAGCCCAATACAAAGAGAAGGGTCATTGATACCGTCGCGGTCACTCGGAGAACCATGTCCGCCTTTGATGGCGGCATTGTTCTTGGAACGGTAAGACCTGCATTACAACGGATCTGGAATCACGATCCTTGGCTCGGTCGTGGTCAGCTGGTATAATATATAAAGTTGCCTCTTAGGAATCCGGAAAATGTTCGGCACCAATGTGTTTCTTTAGCAGCCGTCGCGCCCACTACAATGTATCCTTCCATTTAACCTAGTCACCTGGGACATCCCAAATCCTTCTTTCGCCATTTTCGTACCTAAATCGCGTTGAATCCCAATCCCCGCGCGAGACAAGAGGAGGCAATAAATAAATATGAGACAAAAAAAATTATGGTGGCGATCTATCTCTCTCTCTCTCTTAAACTACTCGGTCCCTTCGCATGGGCAACGATTCTGCAACAGCCGCGGCTGATGTCCGGAACAATAAGGCATCGCTATCCAAATCTCATGCGATCCTTAGGGGTGAAAACTCTTTTCTCTCATCATCTCTCGTATCATCACTGCTTCATCCGACTCGCGCGCGCAAAGGTTTCCTAACAATGCGAAGATAACTCGTTCCGGGGCATCGCATCAAGCCTTTAAGCAGTTGTTGAGAAGTTACCCAGACCTAATTTAGAGAGTCGTGTCAATGATAAACACCGTCACTCTCGCACCCGGCCTATCATAGCTGCTCAGGCGATGAAGTCACCTGCAGAGCTCTGATGGCGTGGTATCGAAATGCGCCACCAGAAACCCGTCATCGGTTCCCCCTAAGTCCGATGACGTGTCAATAATTGGGTAATCGAGAGTTCGAGCTGCAGTCTCTCCCTAACGATCGCGTTATGCCTTACGCAATGTGCGGGGTTCCTGGGGCGGGAACCGCACATCCCAATAATTGACAGCAACTCGTCAGTTGCACTTCTACTCCTCTTATCTCTTTATCTTCATCGTACTCTCATCATCTCAGCTTTCCGTCACTATTACACATGTTTCAAACTACGGTGTCTCCTTGTCTTCGCTTATCTCTTAGCATCATCTTCTTCCTCTTATCTCGTATCTCTTATCTCTGCGGTCTGCCTCCCCTTTCCCAATTTTTGAGAGCATTGTATGGTTATATGCGTATTACGGCTCACGTCCGGGTTCCACCGTGATCGAGCGTCTTTCTGAATTGCCTGTTTAGATACGGACCATGTCCGTTCCGATAATGCCTGGATTTCACTGGACTGTTAAGACGAGAGCTGGGGCCCTACGGTTCCTGATTAACAAAGCATAGATGCACTCATTTTCTGCCAATATGAGCTGAAGCCAAAATTATGGACTTCTAACTTGGTGTATGGAGTGTGTCCATCTTTATATTTCTTGCTCGTCGGGTTTCGTTTGGGAACAGCTCCAGTGTGAAGACCAATAGGCGACGTTGCAGCCTTGCACCTCTTACCTTTGTGTATGGTATGTGTTTATTAAAATCTTGGTTGTCTGGTTTCCTTTGGCATTGGAAACGTCCAAAAAACGCCAAAACACATCGCAGCCTCGCTTCTCTCACAATTGTGTGTGTGCACATGTTTATCATCATCATACTGACACTTGTTGCTGTTGCTCCACGTGTACATGCCGTACAGACCGCGAATTAATACCGTTCCAGCACTTCACACCTGAAAGACCCTGTACATATAACGCCAATCTGTACACCGGGAGGCATAGCGCATATCACCGTTCGTTATTGTATATATGTAATGTTTACACTTCCAAAAACATTTTTAAAAGTGTGACATATATGATTTATATGATTCGTTCGCCAGGTCTGCCACGGTCCACACGACGACGGCGCTATCACCTTCCGTATCGTATATAATGGTTACACTTCCGAAAACCATTTTTTAAAGTGTGACATATGTGATTATATGATTAGTCGCTTGTTTCGGTCAGCGCCTTTCGATTCTTTCTATGGCGCAGTAAGCACGGCCGGTGGGCCACATATAGCTCTCGTTTTCACTCGACAGGGCCATCTATCAACAAAGAATGGTCCTTCGCTTCAGCGTTTACATCACTTCTACAGGGCGTGGCCGCATGGTCATTGTCCGTCCACCGACTCCCAGCGAGGGTAAAATTACACACTCAGGAAACAGCTCACGGACGGCCGAAAAACAACGAGCGAGCTGCTGCGATGGTTTAGCAAATCTGGGCCATTCCGTCAACCGCGGTCCAGCGCCGCTGATAACCACCCTCTGCCCTCAGAGTGACAGATCGAGCGATTTAAAGGACGTCATCTGACCTCCCACAGCGGAGAGTGCGCCGTCATGGTTGCACCGACTGCGGCCGCATCCGTCAACCGCGGTCCAGCGCCGCTGATAACCACCCTCTGCCCTCAGAGGGACAGATCGAGCGATTTAAAGGACGTCATCTGACCTCCCACAGCGGAGAGTGCGCCGTCATGGTTGCACCGACTGCGGCCGCATGGCCCTCACGCGGCGCTCTCTCTCTCTCTCTCTGATGCGGTAACTCACGACCGCCAGTCGCCGACGACGCCGTCGCCATCAACCAAGAACGACGGTGCCCGATCCAGGATGACCGACGACAGATGGTGGCCGCGTATAGCGGACACACCGCCTGGGGATCGCGCCTCCAAGGGCGCCAAAGAGCGTCAAGGGCCGACGGGGATATTGTGTCACTTTATCCGGCCGTATGTGCTCTCTATTACGCTCGTAGGGTCACCTTATCTGACCGTGTGTGTTACCACGTGTTTAGTGCCGTTTATGCATCTGACCATGTGCGTTTAGCTGACGATCACATGTATATGAGTATGTACTATGTAGAGTGTGGTATAATATTGGAACGAAATTATGCCGAAACCCTGGCCCGACACACAATGCCGATGTCATGATACAGAGCGAACAGGATAAGTTCATTTACCGGCTTTTGTACAGAGGATTAGCGCGACAAGCGCGCGTAGCCTTAGTCAGGTGCGTGAGATCACTGCAGATCCGGGTTCACGAAGGACCGGTCCTGCAGAGGTTTCCGCGCGGTTCCCATACGCTCCTGACGTCCGGTTCCCACACGCTCGCCGCATGACGCCGTTATATGGTCGTGCTGTGCGTGCCAAACCGGGTATATAAAGCGTGTATGAACTGAGAAAGGGACACTGTGCTCGAGACCAGCTTTACGGACCCTGGTACTCCGAACCTCCAGGTGAGTCGGCAATGGCCGGCCGACCGCACACACTCTCATTTCCACTCTTCGCACCCACAGCTGCCCTTCAGACCCAGGTTCACACTTGACATGGCTCCACTACACCACTGTTCGTCCTCATGGCATCGGCACGTTTCGGTATAATTGTTCGTGTTCGTCATCATGGCATCGGCTCGTTCGATGTAACTGTAATCAGTCACCTGTTAGGTTCGGAGGTGTTTCTGGCGTGATTATCTTTACTCGCAGTTCCTGGTAGATCGGTCGGAGGTGCTTGCTGGCGGCCTGAGTCCGCACCGTTTACTGCTTTGCCACTGCTATCCCATTTGTAGTTTAGTAAATACATTAGGTGACGGGAAACGATTCTTTACCAAAAGGTCGGGACAACGAAAAGGGGGATACGTCAGAGGGGACACGTCAGAGGGAAAGAAAGGGAACAGGGAACACTGAGACACACCAACAACTCGTCCGCAACACACGCCACTCAATGTACACGAAGACTTCAACCGCAACGCCTTCTGACGTTCGACCCGGCCTGGGGCGAACTGAAAAACGGAAATCACAGTATGTGTTTCCCAGATCCATGTAGATCAGGTGCCACTGGTCTGACCTAGGATCCCAGTCGATTTCAGAAGCCATATGATAGTCGCCCTGACTGACCTCTGAGACACTGGGTGACCCCACTTCAGCGACCCTGAATGACCTCAGTGACCCCGCTGATCCCTTGTGATCGTGACCGATCCCAGTGACCGGGACTGATCCCAGTGATCCTGACTGACCCGCAGTGACCCAGGTGACCCGCAGTGACCCTGACTGACCCCAGTGATCCTGACTGACCTCAGTGACCCAGGTGACCCTCAGTGACCCAGGTGACTCTCAGAGACCGGGACTGACCTCACTATGGCTCGCAGTGGTCGTCGTCGACCATCCTGTCGGTTGGCTCGGCGGCCGTCGCTCCCGGCTCTGGTTTGTACAGGCTGGACGGCAGTCCGAGCTCAGATAGGCGCGGCCCCGAGAGACGCGGCTCCGAGCTGGAGACACGGGTCACGTCAGGGCGATATAGATACCACCGCTGGCCACCGCGGCAGATACTGGGATACCAGCCATTTGAGGACGCTCACTTGCATGCCACTATTATAAATATGCACCGCAAAAGAATGAGATCCCTGCACGGGAGACGAAACTACAGGGCAAATTTATCTCAATGGGATTGGCATTAAAAGTAAATTTCCGATATCATGTTGCTATCCAATCATTATTTGGCGTAATCTCCCCTGTAATTTCTATCTAGCGAGAAAATTACCCTGAATAGATCTACCGTTCCCGGCGCTCCTGATGCAATTTCATCCGATTATATGTTAGAACTGTTAGTACAAATTGTTCCAGGAAAGTGCGGCTGATAAGCGAAGTTCATTGCATTTCGATCGGTTCACTTACCGCAGTCATCCGATCGCGATTCGATTGTCGATCAGAGATTCGATATAATCACTTTCCTCTTCGTCAAGGACAAATGAGATGTGGCATAAGACCATTTGCAGAAGCAAGTCATCAAAATGGAAAAGGGTGGATAAGTTCGAGTTCCAGCATTACACTGAATTTGTGTGCGGCTAGCGCCTTAACCCCCGGCGAGTGACCCCCGGTCGCACCTGGCGGGGGAGCGCTGGACGGGGGTGCTCCGCTGGGACGTCGAGGGACTCCTGCGCTGGCCGCCGGCGCCGCGGCCCACCGGTGACGTCAGACGCGGCCTGGTGACGTCACCGGGAGAGAGCAGCTGCTCGGCGCTGGCCCGCAGTGCCGGCGCCGTGAGCAGCAGGTGGTCGCGGCCCGAGCTCGGCCGGCGAGTCGGTGACGGCGGCTCCACCTTGGTGGCGGGTAGGGGCGAGGCGCGCGCCGACGCCGGCCGACGCGACAGCAGCGGCGAGCTGGCCAGGAACTGGCGCTTCTTCAGCTCGGCGCGCTCGGCCTCGAACGCCATTCTCTGCGGACAGAGACCGGAGACTGCAGGTTGAACGGGGGCCGACACTAGGCACCAGTTGACACCACCACGGGCGCCAGCCGACGTCAGCCAGGACTAACATCAGTCCGAAGGGTGATGACGGGACGATAGACAGTTCCTTTTGGTATGTTTTTTTTTTTTTAATATTCATAAGACAAATTACACTATCAAATTTACTACACTTAGCTATTTCATCCTGAGCTAAGAATGCTGAAACATGGTAATTGGACCTCAGTACAACGAAAGACGCCCTATCAACCTTTGGGCAAGGAATGCATGATAGGACTGCCGATCATTCCAAAATCGTTTAACTTCTTCAAAAGCCTAAAACGTAAGCAGACTGATTTACGTATTATCGTTACTTGAGCCATGGTTCATGGATGACGCTATTCAAAGTCTTAAATTATGATCAGTGGACGAGCCACCGCGACTGCAAGCAGCGCACCGATATGGTCCAGCACAGCGCCGAAACTTCCCATGTAGTTTGCAAGCCGCCACTGCCGCCCAACCCTCTATTAAAGGTAGTGTGCCAGCTTTCTTGGACCGTATGGAGATAATGGCCCAGATAAGGAGAACCGGATTTTTAGAACTTATCCATACCTTCAAAACTCATGGAAACGTCTTAAATTCTTCAAATTTTGAGTACCCCAGTGCGAAATTCGCCCCGACGGGTTGTCGGTCGTACCCCAACCACATTTCACACCACTATGAACAATAAATGCACACACTGAAATCGCTATTACCGATATGCTCATCCAATCAAGTTTCGATAAACCCATTCATCATCAGCTCCTGCGGTTTCGAACACGCCTGTTAGGTGGTGCGGTAGACCACGCCCAAAGCCAGGGCCCCGGTAACGTGAGGTAGCCGAGTCAGGGCAGCGTGCGCTGACCCAAGCCGGAGCCGCGCGTCCTCCCGGTGTCATGTGATAGCCCGGGGCTGCCCGCGGGGATGCGGTAGACCGCGCCCAAAGCTGCGGCCCCGGCTTGGGTCAGCGCACGCTGCCCCGACTCGGCTACCTCACGTTACCGGGGCCCTGGCTTTGGGCGCGGCTTCTGCTCATACTTTGTGGTGCGGTGGTGGTGCGTCGGGCTGCGCGCTCTGACTTCGGCCAAGAAAAATGCGTCAGCTGATCATTGTCATTTCTGCCACTTGCGTGTGGTGAAATGGGGTCATAACTTAAACGACGGCTTTTTCATATCAATTATTTTACATAAAATCATATTTCAAACCATAAATAATGTTCGACAGCCAAATAAAAGAAACAATACCAATACGGGCTTACAGTTTAAGGCTCGACATTGTGTTGTCTACGATTAGACAGCTGATAACTCATTCCCGTACGTCGTATGGTCGTAACACTATAATGACCTTTGCTTATTGTCACAAGTGCGCCGCATTCGCGATTGTTGCCCGACGCCTGTTTGCAGGTGAGCCCACTACAGTTGTTATACACATCTAAAAACCGATAAACTTTTAGGCAAAAAAGGCACTATTCCAGGCCCATTTTTGATTTTTTTTTTTGCGATATTAGGTAAAAACAGAAGCTTCTTATCCTAGGAAAAATAAAATGGGAAATCTTTCAAAGGTGGCACACTACCTTTAATCGCCCGCCTTCGGCGCCGCCACCCCCAGCTTTCATCCATGGTCCCAATTAGGAACCATGCACACCGACCGACGCCGTGAATCGGCACTCCGACACCGGGCCTGAATGGGTGCCGGGCGGAGGCGGGAAGCGCAGGAGGCGGCAGCGGCCGGCCCGACTGGCACCGTCTATTTCCGACATCCAAATCGGAGCCGGCGCGGGCGGCGCGACCAGCTCGGAGCGTCGCGCCCGGCTCCGACAGCCGCTTTCAGATTGATGCAGCGCCGGCGGTAGCACTGGAGCGCGACCATCGGGAGAGGGCTGACCGGAACAGAGCCCGGCCCAGACGTGAGCCCCGCCCACCCGAGAGTGGTCACGGGACAGGGTACGGCCACCGAGAAACGCTGAATGATAGGTCAGCGCTCGGAAGTCCTTATGCATGTGCCAAAGTAGAGGTGTTCTTTTTTCAAAGATAGGACGTGAATGACATTATTCCCTATGTGGGTCTCAGCAAGTAGCGAATGAGGCAGTAAAATGGAGGATAAAAATTTAATCTCCGTGTACTTTTCCACCACACAGAAACTGGTCTCTTATCAACAGCGTTTCACGAGCGTTTCACTAGCTAGTCTCGCATATGACATATGACGCTAGCGTCTCGCATATGACAAGCTGATTATGAAGAGAACTAAATCCGGTCCCCCAGGACTATAAATAATGAGTCTTATAATGCCGCGCTTTCAGGGATCTGTCTACCCATCGCTCATTTGCAGATTCCCAGCTCGCCCCCGACTCGACAGCTCGGGCTGCCGGCCGGGCCGCGCTCCGACCCGGCGCGTCACTGACACAGACCGGTAACAATACACCGGCCCGTGCTCGACACCCCCGGGGCCGACAGGCCATATCTGTCGGTGGCACCGAGCCCTTCCGTCGTACGAGCGCGCACAATGACGCCGTCTCCGCTCACGGACCGCCCGAGGCTGCCGCCGCTCGGTCGCCATGGCAACGGCCGTCAACAGGCCGACCTCCCGCCGGTGCGGTCTGATTGGATAGCGGGGGTTAAGGTCGCCGCCGGGCGGCTTAGTTTAACGCCGGACGAGCGAAAGGTGGGAACAACAAGGAAAAATAAACAAGAAACTTTTGCAGCCATTTGAACCCCCAAAAGCCTACGTACGGCCCTCCAGCAAAAGAATGGTTGGTTAGCCTATGTGCTTTTGGTGTAATAGCTTTAAATGACAGAGACACTCCTGCAAAATGACTCAATAGAAATGAGAAGAGGGTTCGTGCACACATTCCGGCTGCGGTTTTCAACAGCCATTAGACGTATTCATCAATGCAGATCGATTATTGTGATGTTGGCAACCAACCACTTAATACCTGGAGAGCCGTACCTTCAATGATGAAAACGACTGAGCTCCGGCAGTCAAACAATATTTGGCACAGATACCTTCGAGTCTCAAATCCAACACCTGCTACAGGTACATCGACAACGCAAGCATAGATGGACCATTACCTGTAGCATGTTTTGCTGCGGAGCCAGTCCACTGATACAGAAAATAGCCCAGTTTGCCCGCTCACCTCTCGCCCCAGCCGCAGCACGGCCTCTGTGTACATATCGCGCTCCCGGGCCAGCGCCTGCCGCTGGTCGGACAGCATCTGCTCGCGCATCGCCAGCTCGTCGCGCTCCTCCACGAAGAAGGCGTTCCGCTGGAACGAGTCGTCGCAGGTGTCCCCGCCTGTGGACACAGGGGTGCTTTGGTGCTTACCGCCTGGGTCGGGGCAAGGAAAAATGCCGTAACAGACCATGTCGCCTTTTACCAGCAAAGGGTGAAAGTGAGTAGAGAGTAATATGATGTGAAGCATCGATAGCATCATGCACTATATCAAATTGCTGTGGCTTAACCCGCGCGGGGCTGGGGGGGGGTAAATTTTACCCCCCCCCCCTCGCGAATTTTTGCGATATCTCAAAAACGGCGGCGCGCAGCGCCGCCAAACTTTCAGTACCTTTTCTTACATCAATTTGACACGTTCCCTGAAAATTTGAGCGAAATCCGTCGGAAAATTTTTGAGAAATTGACGTTTTAGTGACGTCATGTTCGCGATTTTCGCCTCAAAAACGGCAAAAGTTCAAACGCCGCTAACATCTTCATTTTTAAAGGAATCAAGACGTAACAAAAAAGGTTATACGTAATTTTACTTTGTCTATCAAATGGCTATCTCGTTTTTTTTTTTTGAAAATTTTGGATTTTGGCTTAAATTTTATTTCAAAAAACTGATTTTTTTGGGAAAATCATTATAAAATCCAAAATTTTGAGTCTATCGAAAAAACCGGAACATATGTCAGAGAAGTGGTCTATGTGCACCTACATACCAAATTTTAGAAGAATCGGTTCAAAAATGTGGGAGTTATTCAAAAATTTTATGACGTCACGACACACAAAATTTTTTAAAATGACTTTTTTGGAAGTTCTAGACCTCGTACCGAAACAAAAATAGCACCATTCGATTCGCCGTGAAAAACTGCATCAGATAGACACCTTTTTAGGCCTTAACAACCAACTTCAAAATTTGACCTCACTTGACCTGACCTTGACCTGACCTCGACCTGAAATTCATCCAGAGGTGGTCCATATCACTTATTGAGTGTGCCTATTGAATTCTATGAGTAAAATGACCCATAAAACATGTGTCGCACATGCCCTTTTCTATATTTTGTGTTTTGGTGACCTGACCTGACCTGACCTGACCTTGACCTTGACCTCTGAATGATATTGTATGCAACGAATATTGTCTTGGTAGCCTAAGAACACGTTTTGGGCGATCAGTCTCAGTCCATGACTCCATTCTTCGGCAACTACGGTGCAAGGCCGATACTGTAGAAACTTGCAATTTGTACCCTTGACCTGACCTTGACCTTGACATCAAACTTTAAATTAAGTACATGTTTTAGTAGTTCGTGATGAGAGCTTTCGATTGGCGTTTGAATTTTCCAAATCGGACCATTAGTTCGCGAGATAACAGGGGGGGGGGTAAAATTTACCCCCCCCCCCAGCCCCGCGCGTTCGGCTGGAGACCCCAGCCCCGCGCGGGTTAAAGGTAGTGTGCCACCTTTGAAAGATTTCCCATTTTATTTTTCCTAGGATAAGCAGCTTCTGTTTTTACATAATATCGCAAAAAAAAAATCAAAAATGGGCCTGGAATAGTGCATTATTCGCCTAAAAGTTTATCGGTTTTTCGATATGTATAACAATTGTAGTGGGCTGACCTGCAAACAGGCGTCGGCAACAATCGCGAATGCGGCGCACATGTGACAATAAGCAAAGGTCATTATAGAGTTACGACGTACGGGAATGAGTTATCAGCTGTCTAATCGTAGACGACACAATGTCGAGCCTTAAACTGTAAGCCTGCATTGGTATTGTTTCTTTTATTTGGCTGTCGAACATTATTTATGGTTTGAAATATGATTTTATGTAAAATAATTGATATGAAAAAGCCGTCTCTTAAATTATGACCCCATTTCACCACACGCAAGTGGCAGAAATGACAATGATCAGCTGACGCATTTTTCTTGGCCGAAGTCAGAGCGCGCGGCCCGACGCACCACCACCGCACCACAAAGTATGAGCAGAAGCCGCGCCCAAAGCCAGGGCCCCGGTAACGTGAGGTAGCCGAGTCGGGGCAGCGTGCGCTGACCCAAGCCGGGGCCGCAGCTTTGGGCGCGGTCTACCGCATCCCCGCGGGCAGCCCCGGGCTACCACATGACACCGGGAGGACGCGCGGCCCCGGCTTGGGTCAGCGCACGCTGCCCCGACTCGGCTACCTCACGTTACCGGGGCCCTGGCTTTGGGCGCGGTCTACCGCACCACCTAACAGGCGTGTTCGAAACCGCAGGAGATGATGATGACCGGGTTTATCGAAACTTGATTGGATGAGCATATCGGTAATAGCGATTTCAGTGTGTGCATTTATTGTTCATAGTGGTGTGAAATGTGGTTGGGGTACGACCGACAACCCGTCGGGGCGAATTTCGCACTGGGGTACTCAAAATTTGAAGAATTTAAGACGTTTCCATGAGTTTTGAAGGTATGGATAAGTTCTAAAAATCCGGTTCTCCTTATCTGGGCCATTAACTCCATACGGTCCAGGAAAGCTGGCACACTACCTTTAAAGGAAGGGTGCCACCTTCCGAAATTTTTGTTCTATGAATCTATTTTACTTATTTGAATTTTTAGACGTGGTTAGCGCGCCCACAATATACAAAAAACCGAAACATTGCATTTAATACATTGGCCAAAAAAAAAAGATCGTTGTTTATATCACCACTACAACTCAAGGTCGTTTGATGTGGCAGCTAGGACGGCTGGCATATCCTGTTGTCATGGCAACATATCATTCTGCCATTTGCATTGATGGCGCAACTGAGACAAAAAGATGAACAAATAAAAAGGAAGAAGATAACATGATTTGAACTAAGTTGTAGGTAACCAAGTAGGTAACTGTTGGCCATATTTGCCACCATCAAATAAGTCGAGTAAAGGTTTTTCCTTTACAATGCTTAAGAGATCTATGGAACCCTTCACCCTTCATGCAACTTACTAGAAAAACTTCCCAATTAAAATTTTAAAACTTAAGTGTATACCATAAATAAAAAATATACCCTTTCAAAATGATAAAACATGCTTCAAAAGTATAACTTTTGTACATACCTTTGCTGATTTCATGTTTTATAAAATACCCTTAACACGACGAGGAAATAGTGCTGAAGATTTTTGCCTGCCCGAATGCTGGCAGCAAAACTCGCAAATGATAACTTCACGTGCGGATTCAATGCTGACCGTCTCGAGCATAGGTAAGTGAAGCCGGTTTTTAGGTTCATGTGAGGCTAATCTTGTAAAAACTGCGTTGTGTCCAAAAGGTGGCACCCTTCCTTTAAGGTTTCCCAGTGGCTCAGAGTCATGGTTAAATAGTCGATGATAATAGTCAAAGTTGCCTATGGCCGCTTGTCAAGTCCCGGCCGCTCGTCAAGCATATAGGTCGTAATCCACCCAAAGCTCGACACAAACATTCACTGACCTCCTGGAAAACTTCCGAACGACGCCCTACCGAACACGGCGCCACGCCGCCAGACACTCGTATAACCCAAGATTTCACAACGGACCGCGCGCGCGCCTGGTAGCGGCAGGGGCTAATACTGAGGCGGATAGGTACTGCACTGGTCCACCCGTCAGCCGGTCGGTGGAGAGTGGAGCTGCTTAGGATTAGAGTGTCGCGAGGTATTTATCGATTATCGCGCACAAGATCTGTGGGCTAAGATCCGTTTAAAGTTGCGTTCAATCAACCGTGGCTAATTCATGCTCTTCCTACTCAAAAACTTGGAGGAGTGCCTGAGGGCTTAATACTAGAAAATAACTTTTCGTTATGATTTCATTACGTAAATGTAAAGTTGCCCAATTTAAAATACCTTTATTTTTAAAAGGAGGGAAATCAATGTAAAACAAAGCAAAACACATAAACACGGTTATCAACAATGATCGTACTCTAACTAACACAACAGGACACGGACTGACAAAAACAAATCGTTTTCATCCCGAGTATATCTTCAGCAGTCCAGCTAAAGTCGTCGCGTCCCCGCCAAGCAGTTCTCTTCTCAGTTCGACCCGCCACCCAAAGCCTGCGACTGACAGGATCTGAAACTAACCGCCACGCCAACGACCGGCCAGTGGGTCCGTCGAGAACGGACAATTAGTCGAGTGGGACGCCGCGGTCGACGGCGAGCACCAGCCGCGGTGGCGGGGGGGGGGGGAGCCCACCGGCCGCCGTGGCAGAGGGGGGGGGGGACCAGTAGTCTACTGGCCGCAGTGGCAGGGGAGGGGGAGCTCAGTAGCCCACCGACCGCAGCCGTTTACATTAGCTAACGAGTTGGCCAGCCTGGTCGGCCATCACGGCATCCGTCCTGTCCGGCACTACCGCTCCATGAAATCTGGCCCGATATCGTTATGTGGTCGGTATTCAAGGCATTGGAGAGCAAATAAGTCAACTTGGATGGTCATCCAAAATCCTGAGGGAAGTCGAAATACTGTGCAAAGCTAGCGTTAAGCTGAAGGTCGACAAGCCCATTACAACCTAAAAATCGATGAATTTCGCGGAAGCAATAGCGGATGAAGCTAAAATGCAAACCAAAATCAAGGACGCCTTAAACTGAGATCGGGTTCGATCGTTAAGTGTCTGTCTAAGTGCTGAGGGATTGGATTAAACTTGCATGGGACCGAGACCCGATTAACCCTCGCACGACCAGGCCATTTCTCATAACACGAACTACCAGGGGGGGGGGGGTTGTTACGACCCCCCCCCCTGGCGTTTCAAAACGGAAGGTCGTAGAGCTTAGCGGAAAAAACCAACGGATTGCTCTCAACGAGATCTCGCGATTGGTGGTATATTTTTTGGTCCTAGGTCAACATTTGACCTACTTTTGACCGGTCAAAGGTCAAATTTTCGGAAAAATAGACTTTTTTTCAACTTTCCGCGGCGATTGCGGCAAAACGGTGGGAGATATCGACTTGAAACCTTCACTATCGTGTTCCTTGATCAATTCTCTATCGTTTGGTATGTATTTCGTTTCCCTAGCTCTACAAATGGCGCGTTGGGAGCGCCGGAAGTCGGCAAGGTCACAGTCGGCGGCAGAAATGGGTGAGACTAAATGCTTACTTCGAAATCTAAGCTGCGTTGCGGCATTGGCGGTTATGTGCGGCGTGTATGCCGCATGATTAGTAAGCGGCGACCACTAAATTAAAAACTCAATAGCTTTGACCTGTTTTCAATGGATAACACTGCATACCAAAAATGTCCATCGCTCTCGTCATAGGATATTTAGATTTAAATAACTAACTTATCTACATCATTGTTTTGAACCAAATTAATACTCAGCCGCGAACGTATAAAGTATAACCCCTTGCCGTTTCGCTCCTGATCAAGCTAGAGCTTCGCGGAAAAAAACGAGCGTGTTGCCCGTGACGAGAGAAAGCCGATGATACCCAATTTTAAGGTCCTAGGTCATCGGTTGACCTTCCAGGTCAGGTCAATGACCCAAAAGGCGGGAAAATTGGGACCTGTTAGAACGTCGTAGTGTGGCTGCTATAGGGTTTTTCGGGGTGCTGATCACGAATATCATGCTAGTTTTGATCACAGATGATGTCTTCATTCATTTAGGCCAGATCGGGTTAGGTCAGGTCAGGTCAACCAGTAGAGGTCCTGCCAGGTATTTGTAGTAGGTGTCAACCACCTCTGACAGCCTCGTAACATGTTACGAAGGCACCAAAACTACTTTGTAAACGTTCATGTGGTTGCTTAATTCGAATTCAGCTCGAAAAAAACTGACCTAGAAACATGTCAAACACGAAAAAGTGAACCGAGGTCACCAAAGGTCAATGACATGACCTGACCTTCAGGTGACCTTGACACCCACCCTAATGCATGGGGGCAACATCATATCACATGTTTGAACGCTTGAAACCACGAAAAGACTGCAAACGCGCTGCTAATGCGAGCCGACATACGCTGAATCGCGGTTCCGGCCAAACATGGTCTCGAAAAGTAGGTCACAGGTCAAAGGTCATTTGGGTCAGGGTCATGAAATTTTCAGGATGGGTGTTAAATTGATCAATGCGAGGGTACTGAAAGTTTCGTCGCGATCAGCCGCTTTTTAAGCGAGTTATTCGCGAAAAACCTTAGGGGGGTTGCATCAACCCCCCCCCCCCCCTGTGCGGGCGAGGTCATGTTTTGATAGCAAGACTGAAACAGACTTTTTTGGGTAGCCAGGAAATCGCATGCCAGAGCCTATTCAAATTCTTTTATCGGCCTTTATATGCACCAGTCGCATACAGGTACGGGATTTAGCATACGATTTCCAGACAATCGAAAGACTGTTTGGAGACAACAAAGGAAGGAATGAGTGAGTTAAGTTGAAAGTATTAATTTGGTTCAAAATGATGATGTAGATAACCTAGTATTTAAAGCTAAATATCTTATGACGAGAGCGGTTGGCATTTTTGGTATGCAGTGTTATTCATTGAGAACCGGTCGGAGCGTTTGAGTCTTTAATTTAGTGGTCGCCGCTTACTAATCATGCGGCATACACGCCGCACATAACCGCCAATGCCGCAACGTAGCTTAGATTTCGAAGTAAGCATTTAGTCCCACCCGCAGAAATTCGAAAAATCAAAATTTAAATTTTTGAAATCTGATTGTATTTTTGGATTTGGGAGGTCCATTTGCTCCCTATAGAAGCTAATATTGCTGCATATTCCCATTGAGGTGACAAGAATTAGCAAAATAGTGGTTCGGGCGCTTTTCAAAAATAGTACCGGACGCTGTTCCTCTTGTGACGTCATAGCTCCGTGACCTGACCTGACCCGGTCAATTTTCTTGCACCACACGATAGCCAATGCTTGCCCCAACATGCATGGGAAGTTTCATCATGATCCATCAAACAATGTGGGTATCACCGGCAGAAAACCTAGGGATTCGGCGCACACGTTTGGTAACTGTCGGCCGGAGGCTGTACCTCTTATGACGTCATAACTCCGTGACCTGACATGACCCGATCAATTTTTTTCGGCAAAAGATGCGCAAAGGTTGCCCCAGAGGGTATTGAAAATTTCAGCCCGCTACGACAAGCCGTTTAGCGTGCACTTCGAAAAAAAACCTCAGGGGGGGGTGATACAACCCCCCCCCCCTAGGCGTTCTAGGGTTAACCCTCGCCCGTAAACGGCGATCTGCCACCTTCGCCCATGCAGGGGGGGGGGGGTTGGTGCGACCCCCCCCCCTTGGCGTTTGAAAACGGAGCGTCGTAGAGCTTAGCGGAAAAGACCAACGGATTGCTCTCGCCGAGATCTCGCGATTGGTGGTATATTTTTTGGTCCTAGGTCAACATTTGACTTACTTTTGACCGGTCAAAGGTCAAATTTTCGGAAAAAATAGACTTTTTTAACTTTCCGCGGCGATTGCGGCAAAACGGTGGAAGATATCGACTTGAAACCTTCACTATCGTGTTTCTTGATCAATTCTCTATCGTTTGGTATGTATTTCGTTTCCCTAGCTCTAAAAATGGCGCGTTGGGAGCGCCGGAAGTCGGCAAGGTCACAGTCGGCGGCAGAAATTCGAAAAATCAAAATTTAAATTTTTGAAATCTGATTGTATTTTTGGATTTGGGAGGTCCATTTGCTCCCTATAGAAGCTAATATTGCTGCATATTCCCATTGAGGTGACAAGAATTAGCAAAATAGTGGTTCGGGCGCTTTTCAAAAATAGTACCGGACGCTGTTCCTCTTGTGACGACATAGCTCCGTGACCTGACCTGACCCGGTCAAGTTTCTTATACCATATGATAGCCAATACTTGCCCCAACATGCATGGGAAGTTTCATCACGATCCATCAACCGATGTCCGTACCACCGGCAGGAAACCTCGGGCGTTGGCACTCAGTTTGTGAAAATCCGGCCGGAGGCTGTTCCCTTTGTGACGTCATAACTCCGTGACCTGACATGACCCGGTCAAATTTTTTTTTTATCAAAAGATGCGCAAGGTTTGCCCCATAAGGTACCCAAAATTTGGCGGCGCTGCGCGCCGCCGTTTTTGCACTATTTCCGAAAAGCCTCAGGGGGGGGGGGGGTTGCACCAACCCCCCCCTACATGGGCGAGGGTTAATAGAACATGTCTAAGCGGATCTCCGCTCAGGAAACAGACAAAAGTGATTCTGTTAGAGTGTAGAATATGGCCCGCTATTCGTGCACTGGCAGCTAAACCTACAAACGAAATTCAAAAGACATCGGCAAACCCATTAATGGTTCCTCCTTTATGTAATCCGCGCTGATACCAATTAGCACGAATTAGTGGCAATCCCGTGTTTTAGTGGTTATGGAATCCGTATAATGACACAGCGGTAGTGAGTCGGAAACAGAAGAGTCACATACTGTAGTGCTTGGCCCATATCGTTATTTCAAACCAGCTGGCAATTACTGGCGAGAGGATGGCTACCTTGATCTGAATAACCATTTTAAATAGGACGCAGCCACATGACAGAAAATACAGTTGGCCAGCGTAAATTTGACAGAGCATGCTGTATTTATGCGGCACTGCAGCCCAGTCTAGCCCCAGATTCAATCACCATAGTGCTGGCGCTGGCCGCCATATTCAGCCTTCAGGTCTCTGGTTTTGTGGGCCAGTGTAGTTGGGTCCAGCGTTGACGACATTTGGAAAATTAGCCATCACAACCCAGTGGCGCCAGAAAGGTGTTTTCGGAACTTTATGCGACATTTTGAAAAGTAACGATATAACTTCAGAGAACTCAACAATCAAACCAGCAATAATGAGCGGTTAGTCGAATACACAGCCATCAATTCGGAGAACTGGCCGACTATACAAGCGCACGATCACGGTCAAATTCTATGACTCACTCGTCTCTCGTTTGCTCGTCTCTCCCCCCCCCCCCCCTCTGGAGCCGCGGTCTGGCCGCACCTGTGCTGGTCTCGATCAGGAGCCGCTGCTCCTGCACCATCCTCTCTGCCTGCTCCAGGCGCTGGCGCAGCTCCTGAGCGTCCCGCCGCGGTGAGTCGGCGCCGACCGTCACCCCAGACGACTCTGGAGCGGACGCAGGGGAGGCCGTGAGCAGGCTGCCTTCACACTAACAGATGGCTTACGCACCATTGTAAATAAGCTTCAGTTTTTATGGCATGCTCCCAAGCAACTACATTACTATGTTAAATTACCGTATTCTGACTCTTTAAACAGATATTTGTCGGTGGCATAGTCGTTAATCTGTACGGCGACAAGGACGGCCGAAGAGCAAGTGTTAAAGGGACCCTCCCACCTTAACATTAGATTTGAGTTGAGATAGCCAAAATGGGGTCCCTGGCTCACAATTACCGGTTTCGGCACTCACAACATCGAGAAATGCCTTAAATCGGAAATATTGAATTTCAAAATTGCAGCATTTTGATTCAGAGGGGCTAATGCATAGGAATACCCCTCTGAATGTGTGACGTCATCGCAGATATCTAACGATTTTTAAATGTTTGACTAAAACGTTTTGTAGCACGCGGTGGTGTAGGCTGCTTTGCGCGCAACAAATGCCGCACTTTCAAATAAAGTCGCTAGGAACAGCGGAGATCCCAAAAAGTAAACAAAAGTAAAAGTCTAATATCTTGAAAACCGGTGAATATTTTTCGATGAAATTTGGTAGATATTCGTTTTTGCTCTTTCTGAACCGAGCGACATCACTTTCATGCCAATTCATTAACTTTTTTGAAGGTGGGAGGGTCCCTTTAACAATTTAACTGAGCCTGGCTCCCTTCGAGCTCCACCATGAACTGAGCCTGGCTGCTTTGTGGCACCCCTTCGGACTGGCCCTGGCTCACCTGGCGCCTCTGAGAGCCGGGTCAGCTTGCTCAGCTGACAGGACACCAGACTGTCGACGGTCTCACTCAGCGGGTCGTACGGCAGGCCGAGCTCCAGAGCGTTCAGCACGTGCGGGTCCCCGCACAGGGTGCAGCCGTCCTCACATGCCACCTGGCAGCCACAGAGGTCACCGAATGTGTCAGTCACAGTCGCACAGCAGGAGGGCTAACGGGAGATCAGACAGAAGCGGTATAGAAGGAAATCATAGACTGCTAGTCAGTGGGCAGTAATTTCCCAGGCTAACTAGAACCGATCACTCCATCCCGTACTGAGACTCAGCAGGTTCCCCTCATATTCTGCTGAGAGGCGACACATCTCCCTCACCTGCTGGGAGGCGGCGACCAGCGCGCGCAGCACGGAGCCCAGCAGAGAGCGCAGTCGCTGCGTCTCCTTCACCATCCGCAGGTGTCGTGCCTCGCAGCCGGCCAGCACGCGTTCGTACGCCTCCTCACGGGCCCTGCGGCGCGGAGCGAGCGGCCGATCATGAGGCAAGGCAGTGGGAACACCAGCTGGTTAAACTCATAGTCCTGGTTGTGCACCTATTGGCGGTCTGTTATGGTCTGAACTTGCCGCCAGTCTTGACCTTTCCGCTTCTCTCTAGGTAAGGTTAGGTTAGGTTGGCTTACCTTAGGTTAGGTTAGCTTATGTTAGATTTGTCGGCGGACTCGACCAAGTCCTCAGTCTCACGTGTGCTGCCCTCTAGCCAGACTCCACGTGAAGGCGCCCCCAGATGGTCCCAGCTCTGCCCTCTGAGGATCCACCTTGTAGCGCCCTCTGCCGTCTCACCGGTCGGCGGCGGCCGGTGTTCGCCATCGCGCCCGGGTGCCGTCCGTGCGGCTGAGCAGACCAGAGATGACCAGACCGGAACGCTCCTGACCCCCGCCGCGACGCTCCCGATCCAGAAGACGATGCGTCCTGCGGCAGGGATGGCGGGGCGCGGTGAGAAGGCGACCGAACGGTGAACACAAAAAGTACAGCCTCCTGAAGCCTTGACCTTCAAGTGGTAGATCCGGGCAATGCCACCAATTTCTTTAATTCTCCCGGCAGCCATCATATCCTTCTGACCAGTCATCGGACAACGGTAATGCTCGTCAGGTATTTTGTGTTAAGGCCTAGCTACACTACCTATGCGTTTTCTGCGTGCGTTTTTTGCGGGTTTGCGTGTTTTGCGTAATATCGATCCAGAAAAAATAGATATTACGTTTTTGTGATGTTTTATCTTTTTTAATATAACAGTTATATAACTTTGGCGCATAACTAATGCACAACTAAGAGTTATATTATTTGTAAGTTTTTTCTTCAACGATATTACGCAAAGAACACACGCAGAAAACGCAAAGTGTAGCCAGTCCTTTACTGACGCTGATCCTCGGACAGCCGGCAGCCGTCCGACGTCACTCACATGTCTTTAAGTCGCTCAGCCTGTCGCTCCTGTTTCTTCAGTTCGTGCTGGTAGTGGGTGGTGCGCTGTTGCAGGAGCGACTGCAGTCGACGCACCTGAAAGAAAACGTGAAGTCTGACACACCAGCTGGGAGACATGGGGTGCCAAACGGACAACCTGATGAGCACGGAACGCCAAGTGGCCCGGCTGCTAGAGGGACTTAACCTTGATGGATCAGCAGCTCAGACACAGTCCCGCAGTGTGTCTCACCCATACGCATCGAGAGTAGCACACTACGTGTGAGAAAGGAAGAAGCTATCCCACACAAAAGACCGCGAGTGAATCGGTCAAGCGGTTGTGGAGATACAAGCTTTGCAAAGGCGCCCCCACAACGGCCGACTGCCAATAATTAGCAATAATCAGCGTCGCGTCCGCACATGGGAGGTATCCCCTTCACCTGTTCGTATATTCTAATGTGGTTGGGTTCAAGTCACAGTCGAGCCCTGCTTTTTTACAACTTTTCTTGAAAACGGCACACCGTGCAGTGACGTTCTATACATCAGTGGAAAGAGCATCAAAAGTTGTATATTATATTAACTTTTCACCTATATATATTACTAACGATAAAAGTTATAGAGGAATAAAGACGCTCCCATTGACTTTCCATGTTAAAAATTTTCATTTTCAAACGAACTTTATTAGAAAAAACGATTTCTGCCAGCTTAACGAAGCATACCAGCATGTACTATGCTCCTTTCTCTACAAGATATGAGAGTTTGGGCGAAATCTATCTCTAAAATTTTGTACAAAGATCGAATGAAAATGTCTCTGCAAAGTCTCGACATCGCCGTCCATTGACTTAACATGGGACACAGCAAAATTCCAACTTTGACCTCGTGCAAAGACACGTTCCGAGATTCTGAGGGGTATACAGCGCACACTGACGTGTACCCAAACGTGTTTGCTATAAAATGCTGGGAAGAAAACCAGCTCTTCCTTGGCTCGTTTTTCCGCTATTGGCGATCGCGCAAAAAGTGTCCAAAACCCCGTTCACTTAACATGGGGAAAATGGAATCGCACGTGCCACGTGCCACGAGATTCTGGCGGGTATACGGCGCACACGAGCGTGTACCTGAACGTGTTTGCCATAAAATGCTGGGAAGAAAACCACCTCCTTCTTGGCTCGTTTTCCCGCTATTAGCGATCGCGCAAAAAGTGTCCAAAACCCCGTTAACTTAACATGGGGAAAATGGAATCGCACGTGCCACGTGCCACGAGGTTTTAAGCGAGTAGCGACCGGTGCCATCAGGTAGATCGCCTCCGGGAGTCCATACACTGAACTTTTTACGAAGATTGTACATTTCGTCTAGGCCCCGGTCAAGATGTCTCGATTCGCTGCCAGACTTGCAAAACATAGCCCGGAGAACGACCGCTCCGGTTGTTTTTCAATAGAAAAACACAATTCTAACGAATAGTGTTTGTCTTTTCAAACAACCTGCGGTTACCAGCATCTGCGATGCTGGGCTCCGCATCGCTGGACCGCAGGTTGTTTGAGCAAGCACCTTTGGAAACGCAGCAAAAACGCCCGCCGCCAAACGAGAGGATGAGCCTTGCACGTGCAGACCGGAGTCGGTGTGCTACGGACTGACGTGCACGGCACCCTATTCGCCGGTCTATAGCGGTGTGCCAAATTTGAGTGCAATCGACCCGGCCGTTTTCGAGATCTGGAAGCGTGACCCTGCACGTGCGCACGTGCAGCCTGGGCCCTAATTGACTTGTGCACGGCACTCTATTCGCCGGTTTCTAGCGATGTACCAAATTTAATCTGAATCGGCCCAGCCGTTTCCAAGATCGGGAAACGACCCCTACACGTGCGCACGTGCAGCTGCACCCCAACCGCGGCACATGAAAATACATACTTACTGACTTGTGCACGGCACCCTACTAACTAGTCTCTAGTGGTATGCCAAATTTGAGCACAGTCGGTCCAACCGTTCTTGAGATATGGAAGCGTCAGCCTGCACGTGCGCACGTGCAAACTGGGTCCCATCTGACTTGTGCACGGCACCCTACTCGCCGAGCCCTAACGGTGTGCCAACTTTGATCACAATCGGCCCAGTCGTTCTCGAGATCTGGAAGCGTCACCCTGCCCGTGCGCACGTGCAGCGGCACCCCAACCGTGACACATGGAAATGCATTGCCGGGTGCGTGCCAACATCCATGCAAAGTACCAGCGCAATCGGCAAACTAACTACAGAGTTATTAGACTTGTTACTGAACTGACTTCTCATCGTTTTGCACGTGGCACGTGCATTAGGGGTCACCCATACGCATCGAGAATAGCACACTACGTGTAAGAAAGGAAGAAGCTATCCCACACAAAAGACCGCGAGTGAATCGGTCCAGTGGTTGCAGAGATATAAGGTTTGTAAAGGCACCCCACAGGCGGCCTACTGCTAATATTTAGCAATAATCAGTGTCGCATCCGCACACGGGAGGTATCTCCGTCACCTGTTCGTATACTCTAATGTGGTTGGGTTCAAGTCACAGTCGAGCCCTGCTTTTTTACAACTTTTCTTAAAAACGGCACATCGTGCAGTGACGTTCTATACATCAGTGGAAAGAGCATCAAAAGTTGTATATTATATTAACTTTTCACCTATATATTTTACTAACGATAAAAGTTATAGAGGAATAAAGACGCTCCTATTGACTTTCCATGTTAAAAATTTTAATTTTCAAATGAACTTTACAAGAAAAAACGATTTCTGCCAGCTTAACGAAGCATACCAGCATGTACTATGCTCCTTTCTCTACAAGATATAAGAGTTTGGGCGAAATCTATCTCTAAAATTTTGTATAAAGATCGAATGAAAATGTCTCTGCAAAGTCTCGACATCGCCGTCCATTGACTTAACATGGAACACAGCAAAATTCCAACTTTGATCTCGTGCAAAGACACGTTCCGAGATTCTGAGGGGTATACAGCGCACACTGGCGTGTACCGGAACGTGTTTGCCATAAAATGCTGGGAAGAAAACCACCTCTTCCTTGGCTCGTTTTCCCGCCATTGGCGATCGCGCAAAAAGTGTCCAAAACCCCGTTGACTTAACATGGGGAAAATGGAATCGCACGTGCCACGTGCCACGAGGTTTTAAGCGAGTAGCGACCGTTGCCATCAGGTAGATCGCCTCCGGGAGCCCATACACTGAACTTTTTACGAAGATTGTACATTTCGTCTAGGCCCCAATCAAGATGTCTCGATTCGCTGCCAGACTTGCAAAACATAGCCCGGAGAACGACCGCTCCGGTTGTTTTTCAATAGAAAAACACAATTCTAACGAATAGTGTTTGTCTTTTCAAACAACCTGCGGTTACAAGTTGCCCCAATTCGCGGCCAGACTTGTAAAACATAGCCCGGAGAACGACCGCTCCGGTTGTTTTTCAATAGAAAAACACAATTCTAACGAATAGTGTTTGTCTTTTCAAACAACCTGTATGGTCATGCTTAGAGGGGTCGGACGTGTTTGAAGGGGCTCTAGTATTTTGTCATTTTTTACCGTAACTAGATTGTGTCACGAGCTGAAAATAATATAGCGTGGTTAGGAATTTAACGTAGAATGTTTAACTGTAATTTATAAAGTTTAATGTTGTGTAACTTGCCAGATATAAGCGTTTGAAAATGGTAAAATTTTGAACTTTAGTTAAAAAAGTATTGTTGTTTGGACTGCTGATCCACGCTTGATTTTTGCCAAAAAAGCTCGTGGATATTAACAACGCGTAACTGCGACTAAAAGCTCCCACGAAATTAAAGCCGGCAATATCGTATTGATATTGCCGTATGGATATATCCATATATGTCGTATGGATATATATGAGCTGATTGCACCGAAGAAATCAACGGGAAGATGCGTTGAATTGCAACTGTATGAAGTCGGCCCATGAGAAGTAATCAAGTTTCTCTTGGGATTGCTATTGTCCGGATGGTGTAGCTTTCTTCGCTCTTCGTTTTGAATATTTGTTCGACATCTTTTACTCCAGTGCAAGATTATGCTCGGCCACTCTTTTCCAAGACTTCATTTAATAACTTGAACTCAAGCGCAATGACCCGGAGATTAACCAGCAAACATGTCACATAGGTACCCTTGCGGCGCATGCAGCCGGGGTGTCGGGAGCGGCTCAGTTCAATGCCACCAATGTAGCCGGTGGTTCCATGGCCGCTGCGCAGTCCTCAACCGGTCGAATTTGGTGCGACTCGCGAAGCTCCACACGGAATGGAGATGCACCACCTGCCAAAATACTCCTGTCGCCCAGCCCTGCGACCCGCAGCGTCCTACCTCCAACGGCGAGAACAGCCCACAGCCGCCTCGCGACGCCTCAACACCAGCCTCCTCGCCGTCACCGACACCGACCAGCCAGCCAGCGCGAGACGCCTCACCACCAGCCTCCTCGCCGTCACCGACACCGACCAGCCAGCCAGCGCGAGACGCCTCACCACCAGCTTCCTCGCCGTCACTGGTTCCGGTCAGCCAGCCACCTCACGACGCCAGAGACCAGCCGTCCACCCAGAGTCCTGCTGAGTGTGTCGCCTGCTCCATTCGCAGCCGCAGGAAGACAACCATCACCTGCGGCTCCTGTAGGCAACTATGGCATACTTCCTGCGCTAAGGTCCCTGCAAGGAAATCCCATCACCTCCCTGTTTGGCATTGTCCTGCATGCCTCGGCCGCGAGTCAGCCCAGCTCTCTGACGCTTTCAACGGAAGAGAGGTTCCAGACACTGGCGTCGTCGAAGGACTGGCAACTCTAAGGAGAAGCACTAAACTAATCTCGCGAATACCTAAAGGCGTAAGGCCCCTGGTGGCCGATGCCCTATGCAGCGCCTTAGAGGATGCCCTTAAGCTACGCACAATCTGCGCGTGGTGGACCTTCCTGTCTTTCGCGTTCTTCGCGCTACGCACACCAGGAAAAGGCGATAATAATGTCAGTGCCGCAGCGAGCATCAGGCAGCAGCTCTCCAGCCCCAACCAAACCATGACACCAAACCTGCTTCCCGAACCACCAACAAATGACTCAGCACGAGAACATCAAAAGCCTGCCACTGACGCCCTGGCCCGTCGGATCCTCGGGAAATGTGCAGATGGCGACATCCGGGCGGCCCTAAGGCTACTGACCTCAGACGATACAGTTGCCGAGCCTGACGCCGAAGTAATCGCCGAGCTAATGCTGAAACACCCAGCAGCTCCCAAGGACGAGCTTCTGCCGCCACCGCCCGCCCCATCAGACCCAGGGCCGCTCACGGTGACGCCGGAGGAGGTGGAGGCCGCTATCAACTCGATGCCTCCGGGATCATCAGCAGGCCTAGACGGCATCAGGCCGCTACATCTACGCCAGCTTATATCCAGGGAGGCGGCTGAGAGCGGCCGCCGTCTTTTGCACTCTTTGACGGTACTCACCAACCTGGTGCTGGCCGGCGAGGTGCCGGATTGTGCCAGGGACGCCCTTTTCAGCGCCTCACTATGCGCACTCAGGAAGAAGAGCGGCGGATTGCGGCCCATTGCAGTCGGGAGCGTCTACCGACGCCTGCCATCCCGCATCGGAGCACGCTTCGTGGCAGACAGCCTTGGTGCCGAACTCCGTCCTGTCCAGCTCGGGGTAGGAACGCCCCTGGGCTGCGAGGCGGCGGTCCATGCAACGCGCAGTTTCATTGAAGCCAGCCGACAGTCAGCTGCTCCACACGTGCTGGTCAAACTTGACGTGTCAAATGCTTTTAACACGGTGCGGCGCGACGTCTTCTTGACCCGCATTAGGGAGCGATGTCCGGAGGTGTACTACCTAGCCTACCAGGCCTACAGCTCACCCAGCCCACTCATCATCGGAGGACAGACCATCGCTTCGGCCTGCGGTGTCCAGCAAGGCGACCCGCTCGGACCGGCCGCGTTTGCTATCGCCATTGACTCCTGTGCCAGAGCAGTGTCAGCACCTCTGAACATCTGGTACTTGGACGATGCAACGCTGGCCGGTCCAGCCAGCGCGGTCGCTGCTGACATCGCAACACTTCCAACAGCGCTGGCAGCCGCTGGTCTCTCACTGAACGCGTCCAAGTGTGAGGTGGCCTTCATTGGCGCTGAAGATTCGGACCACCGCCACGCTGCCATCGGCGCCATCTGCTCTGCGCTGCCTGACGTCAAAGAGACTGAGCTCACAAACCTATCTCTGCTTGGCTCTCCCCTGACCGACGGCAGCATAGGAGCAGCAGGGGAGGCAGCCTCTGCTATGGTGCAACGCCTCTGCACCCGGCTGCGCGAGCTAGACAGCCACACTGCGGTGTTTTTCTTGGCGCACCACGTATCGGCACCGCGTCTGACGTACCTGCTGCGCTCCGCACCGGCGTTCAAAGCCCCACACGTACTCCAGGCTACTGACGAAACGGTGCGCAGCACACTAGAAGCGGTCTGCAACGTGGCCATAAACCCTGCGGCATGGGAGCAGGCGTCGCTTCCAGTGAAGTTCGGCGGCCTGGGCATCCGGTCAGTCGAGGCACTGGCGCTACCAGCGTACATTGCGTCGGTAAACGCAGCACGCCCCCTCATCCGTTCCATCTGTCCGAGTGTGACTGATGAACTCTCAGACACCTTGGAGACCGCAGTCAGCGCGTTCCTTCATCGCACAGGGGTGGACCGACAGCAGCTGCCGGACGGTGAGCTGGTCAGTAGTCAGCGCGCGTGGGACACCGTCGCCTGTACGGTGGTCCAAAGTCGCCTACTGGTACCAGCCAACCAGATCGACCGAGCTCGGCTCATCGCCGCCGGCCAGCCGCACACAGCGGCCTGGATCCAGGCGGTGCCGGTGCCGAGTCTCGGGCTTCACCTCGACGACGAAACCGTCCGCGTCGCTGTGGCCCTGAGACTCGGCGCCCCGGTTTGCGAGCCGCATCGGTGCCGTCTGTGTGCGCGCCCCGTCACCCCGCTGGGACATCATGGCCTCTCCTGCCAGAAAAGTGCGGGTCGCCACTCGCGTCATGCCCACTTGAACGACGTGGTGCGTCGCGCTCTCTCCGGCGCTGGCTTTCCCGCCATTCTGGAGCCAGTCGGCCTCGACCGGGGCGACGGCAGACGACCGGATGGCATCACCGTCTTCCCCTTCCGCGAGGGCAAGTGTCTGACGTGGGACGCGACCTGCGTCGACACTTTCGCCGACCACATAGCGGTGGAGTCCGCACTGAAACCGGGTGCAGCTGCAAGGCAAGCCGAAGAGCGAAAGCGGCAGCGTTATGCGGACCTAGCCAGGAGGTATAGCTTTGTTCCGGTGGCACTGGAGACAACCGGTGTCTATGGTCCAGCCGCCGCCGCTTTCGTCCAGGACCTGGGGAGACGCCTGGCAACCTGCACGGGTGAGCGTCGCGAGACGGAGTGGCTGCGACAGCGGCTGTCCGTGGCCATCGCTCGTGGCAACGCGGCCTCCGTCCTCGCCACCGCTCCCCAATCTGGCATAGAACAAGCAGGCCAAACCCGCAGGGCTGCCTCCAACGCTGGGAACAACCCAGGGACGACGCGCCGGTGGCCGCGGAGCCACGCGGTAACGGCGGCTACGCCATCGGCTAGCTGTGCGCCTGAGGTCGAAACCAGCGGCAAGAGGAGCACAAGAGCCACGCCGCCCAAGGCAGATTCTCCGACTGAGATCAACCTGGGCAACTCGTGCTACCGGCGCGGCCTGGTCAACCTTGGGAACACGTGCTTCATGAACACCGTGCTACAGGCGCTGTTCCATTCAGATCAGCTGCGCGGCGAGGTGCTGGCAGCGCGGCCGTCCCCCTCCCGCCCGCACCTGGCGGCACTACAGCGAGTGTTCGCCTTCCTGGCGTTCTCGGAGCGGCCCGTCTACAGCCCGGGCGAGTTCCAGCGGACCGCTCTGCCGCCCTGTTTTGAGCGGGGCCGGCAGCACGACTGCTCAGAGTTCCTCCGATGCTTTCTGGACGCCTTGCATGAGGAGGAGCGGTCTCCGGCAGCTTCCCCTGCCGCACCGGTCGCGGTCCCGCCGCCAGTCCCTCCAGCTGCTGCCGCCGCATGCACCAGAGACGACTCCAGCGTGCCGGGAGCAGCGGCGATGGAGCGGCCGCGGTCCCGGCGCCGGCACCGTTCCTGCGACACTGCGCGGGCCGGCGGGAGATCGCCGCCGGTGCAGCTCTCTGACCTGGCCAGCGACGATGTGGTGATGGCAGAGCCGGCCGGAGACAGGGCGGAGCGGACTGCCGCGGAGGGGGAGCCCACAGAGTCACCGGACACCGGCGGGACGCAGCAGACTGATCCGGACGGCCAGGCGCAGGGCGAGGTGGTGCGTGAGCACGGTACTGGCGATGCCGGAGCTGAGGAGCCGCCCGCCGGCCTGGTCCGTCGGCTACTGACCGGACGGGCTGAGACTACGTTCACCTGTCTCACGTGCGGCGGCGCTTCGCGCCACGAGAACAGCGTGACGGACCTGCACCTGGCTCTGCCGGAGTCGGTGACACGGTCACTGACGGCAGCCGCCGCGGGCGCCGGGGGAGCCGAAACTGCGCCGGCGTTCGGCCCCGCGCCGCGGCCGGTCGGTTGGCGGGGCACGCCACCGACGGACAACCAGACAGAGATCGAGCTAACCGTATCGCAGCTGCTGCTCGACTACCTGACGCCGGAACGACTGTGCGGTGATAACCAGTATTACTGTACCAAGTGCACCGGCCTGCGGGACGCCGAGCGCCAGCTGCGACTGCTCTCTCCGCCAGCCAACCTGGTCGTCTCCTTGATGAGGTTCGCGGTTGACCGGCGCACCGGTGCACGCCGCAAGGTTCTCACCCCTGTGGAGCTCACCGAGTGGCTGACAGTGCCGCTAGCCACCGGCCCGCCCGCCCAGTACCGGCTGTATGCAGTGATAGTCCACGCGGGCCATTCGCTGGACGCTGGCCACTATTTCTCATTCTGTCGCGCCTCCGGTGGCGGTGGTATTGATGGGATGGACGATACCGGCTGGTGGCGGCTGGACGATACGTCAGCGGTGCCGGTGCCGGCGGCCACCGCGCTGGGCCGGCCGCGCCGCTCCACCGAGGCAGCCTACACGCTGCTGTACCGGCTGACCGATGCAGCGGTGGCGGGGGCGGCGGGCGGCTTGTCGGCGCTGGCTGCCCTGCCTGGCCCCCTGCGAGCTGCCGTGGAACGAGACAACGCCGTCTTCCGACGGGAGCGGCAGAGCCGGACGGCCGGCGCACTGCCGATGGTCCACGACGGACGGCCGCCGCCGGGTGCCGGCTGCGGCGGCGACAGCGGGCCAGGCGTCCCTCGGATGCGTCAGCCGACGACGAGGCGAAGCGGTCCAAGCAGGAGAACGGCCACAACGGCGTCAACGGCCAGGCGGCGCCCCTGATATGCGCCCGCTAAAATAAAGTGCTGTGTAAACTGTAATATGCATATTATGTATTGACTCGTATACCTTGCCAGTACGATCGTGTGAAAATGTTGGTATTTTTATACCTCTTTATTGCGTAGATGCTTGTGTGCGATGGACGTCACCTTATCAATCGAAGATCAGGGAATAAAACAGAGTTTGGACAATCAAAGTCATTATTGATCCAGCAACGCAATCGTACGAAGCCCATTTGAGCGTATGACAGAAATCGGTGCCCATCTAATCGGTGCCTGTATATCCCCAAAACACAAGCAAGCTATCGCCAGAACTCCCCCCTCCCCCCCCCCCCCGAACACTTGGTCCCTGTCTCCGGCGCACCGTCTATATGTTCGATAGCCGTCAAACACAGCACCTACCTCATCCTTGGCCTCAGTCAGGCGTGTTTGTCCGGTACCGATCTGGGCGCTCAGCTGCCGCTGCTGCTCCTGCTGCTGTGCAGAGCGTGACTCCAGCGCACTGCACTGGTCCCGGCACCGCGCCAGACTCGACTGAAACCAGAAAACACGTCACTCCTTTCACTCCTTACCGACCAGTTACCCGGGTTGAGATGATGTCAACAGAAAAACATCGCAAACCAGACATGACAACAGCGAGGTGGTTTCAATACACGTTAGGAGTAAGTGGTAGTGCATTTATGGAGCCCTGGCTTTACTGAGCTCTCTCCGTCCCTTCCAGTCTGTCAAGTCCGTCCCTCTCCTGCCCCCCCCCCCCCAACCTCCAGCTGCTGGCGGTCAGTGTCGGCGCGGTTTAGCCGCAGCTGCAGCTCCTGTCGCTCGCTGAGACCATCCCGTGATGAGCGGAGCAGCCGCCAACACACGTTTACCAGCGCCACTGAGTCGAGCCGGCCCTGGCCCCCGGGCGCCACAACCGCCGGCAGGCCGACCAGCGTCAGCTCCTGCGGCACAGACGGACCGGCATCAGCTCCTGCGGCACAGACGGACCGGCATCGGCTCCTGAGGCACGCAGGTGCCACTGTAACATCGGCGGTCACCAACTCCCGCAGTGCTGTCCAAGACATTCTATTGTTTGATGATCAGCATTATGGACAATGAGTAATTGTAGCATTTCAATATGGTAGCAGGGTCACCGAATAATTGCTTGAAAAATGAAACTTTTGCACATTGCCATTGTTGATGAAAAAGCTTGAAATTAATTCTTCTGCATAACTTTCAACGAAACAGAACTGGTAATGGTTATGCAAATGCATAAAATGGGTATCGGTCAGCTGCATCCAAAATACCTGAGTAAAGGATCCAGTGTGAGTGCTTACCTGAGAGAGATAAGTCACAGCTGCATCAATATTACCAGGATGACAGAATTCATGCTGGTTTGTGTTCGTGCAGGAAGTCATAGTGCGGTCATTTCCTCTATTTCTATGTTGATTTTCCATCCTGGAACAAAATGATTTTTGAAGCAAGATAACTAATAGATCTATGAGCACCCACAATAACCACATGCAGACCTGGGTCCTGTTCAATTGCTCTGCGGCCGCCGCGGCTCCCTTGACTGGGGGCGGAGCCCAACTTCAGTTAGGTTGAACACACTCGCTGCTGCGGGCGCTTCGGCCAGCAACAAGAATGGCACAGTTGTTCTGAACAGAGATGCTAATCAAAATTTTGTGTAATAACTATACAATGGCTTATTCACTTCAATTAGTACCATTTTGAAGCAAGTAGGTATTCCAAAACAGCATCATAAAACCAACCTAAATAATGAGTGAAATCCACAATGTTTTGTCTTATGCATGCATTTTATGTTGAAGTTTCCCTGTGGTCGCCCCCGAGCGACCATGGGAGCCGCAGGAAGAGCTGTGCGATACCCAGGATGCTGCTCTCGCCTGATTGGCTGTCAGCGAAGCTTTGCCTTTTTGACCGCAGACACTTGAACAGGGCCCTGGCAGTAACAAACTCAGCATCATACCCGGTAGTAGGTAGCAGACATGGGCACGGATCCCAGACAACCAATCACGGAAATCGAGCTGGCCATTAGATTGACGGTCTTCAAGCATGAAATGATGGTGGAAAACATGGCTAATAGAAGCCTCTCAATGAACCAACTTTTTTGCATTCCTTCAGATTTAACAGTTCTGAGAAAATCCCTCAAGATCCATCTCAGATTCATGATTCGTGACCATAGATCCAAGATGGATCTTGAGGAATTTTCTCAAAACTGTGAACTCTGAGGGAATGCAAAATAGTTGGTTCATTAAAAGGCATCTATTAGCCATGTTTTCCACCATAATTTCATTCTTAGTCTTAAAAATCACCGATAAGACCAATAATCTAGTGGTCATCTTTATTTTCGTGTTTGGTCGTCTGGGATCCGTGCCCATGTCTGAAAGGTAGTAAAGCAGGCGTCTCACTTATTTTTTTGCAACCAATGAGCGGTGCTGAAGGTTTTAGGCGGTAGGTTTCAGAATTAGGTTGTAGGTTGCAGGTTTTAGGTTGTATGTTAGAGATAAGGTTAGATCAAGTTTAGTTTGGTTTGGTTAGAAAGCATCTCTGGGTATAGCGCCTCCCCTCGGCTGCAAAAAAAAAAACAAGTGACGCCAGCTTTACAACTACTTCATACCCTTGCGCAATTCGCCATGCACTCATGCAGGGAGGCTCTGCCATGTGTGCAGCAAGAGGTCGTATCTATGAAGCCAAGTACCTATGCAAATTTCAACCTCACATCCATGCGGCCCTATCCAATGACAAACTAGTTGTCGCACCAAGCACACCTTGACCCATGTCCCATGAGTAAGGGAGGTGCCCTCCACCCGTCCACCGTCAACAGCGAGAAACTCTGGGCAACACCTCAAAAAATAGTCTATTACTCTCAACCTATCGTCGCTGCTCCCCAGGGCCCAGACTGAAGACCTTTGCCTAGCCCTAGGCTGTATATACTGCCTCGCCTCTCCCCATAGTTAACCCTCGCCCGCACATGTCATTTTCTCATCCTAGAACGCACATGGGGGCCCCCATCCCCTGCGCCATTTCGTTCCTGTTGGAGATAGAGCTTCGCGGTAAAGACCAAAAAGATTCTTTGGGAAGGGACGAATCCAATACCCAGTTTTTTTGGGCTCTGGAAGAAGACGTCGAGGTCTATGTTGTAGCCAAAAACTTCACGAAAAGTAAATTCAGCTTGCCTACAACGCAATTATTTTAATGACCTAGGTTGACCTCGACCCTGACCTTGACATCTGTACATCGTTGAACAACATGTTCCATGATAGGTGGGAGGTAAGACTGGCAAAAAATGCTGAAATCAAGGTGTAAAAAGCTCACAAGGCCCATAGCCAACGCAAGATGTTGAGAATTGGTCATTTGGGTCATGACATGAACTGAAAAACAAGGTCATATCTCCAAAACCAAAAACCACAGAAACATGGAATTTTCAGTGGACATCAAGAAAGGATAGAGGAGCAGCGGTAAAAGTATACATTAAGTCCGAGTGACTGTTAAAAGATAAAGTTTTCATATTCTTACATTATTTGACATCCTGAATCCAAAAATGATACTTATATGTCCTGGAAATAAAAGAAAAACATAATCAAACCTGACCTAACCTTACCTATTTACCTACAACCTACCAACCTACAACCTACAAACCTACAACCTAACCTAACCTAACCTACAAACCTACAACCTAAAACCTACAAACCTACAACCTAACCTAACCTAAAACCTTACCTAAACCTAAAACCTTTTTGCTGTTACATATTTGTATCAACAGCGTCACAATTGTCCACTCGGACCTGATATATACTAATACCGGAGCAGCTATACGAAAAATCAGGCTTCTAGTTTAGAAAATGTGGTAAATAAATACCAAAAATGTTAAGTGCAGAGCAGAAAAAAACTACCTGGGGAGGGGGGGTGGCAACCCCCCCCCCCCCATGTGCGGGCGAGGGTAAGTGTACCGTAAAGTGGGGCTATTTGAGACAGTGGGGCTATTTGAGACAGTATTTAAAATCGCTATAAAATGAAAATCGTTTGATTTTTGTGTGATATTTCTGCACAGGGAGGTGTGGAATCGAGCAGTAAATCGCCTGAGCAAAAAATTAAGCATGAATCTTAAGTGGTTTTTATTTTACAGCAATTTTAAATACTGTCTCAAATTGAAATAGCCCCACTGTCTCAAATAGCCCCACCTTACGGTACCGTTTATATTCCAAGATGTATATTACCCCGTAATGATGTTAAGTTATTTTTTATGAACTAAAACAAAATCAAGAACAAAACGCCTGTTTGACTATCGCCATTTTCCTCCTCCCCTCCTACTGAAGCAGCTTCAAAATGCGCAAAGTGCCATTAAAGTTCCCGCCTCCCGCCAAAAAGAGCATGTCTCTGACGCGTCATAATAATTACCTGTTCGAAATAAATCGCCTGTCCTAAGCAGCGCCAGTTGCCATGGAAACTACACCATAACTGAACCGAAGCAGGCTTATAAAATATAAAAGCTATGTAAACGGGTGAGTATTGAAGCATCCAAGAGCGCAGCATCCAAGGGACGCAACATCCAAAACCTTAGCATCCAGCATTCAAAACGTCCAAATAACATCCAAAACCGACCCAAGGCTATAGAACTCCAGGTAAGGACACCAGCCGTTTGACCTTGAACGCCGCCGGCCGGCCGATGACGTCATTGGAGGCAAGCCGGCTCGGCGGACACACAAGGCGAATGCATAACGGAGGGGCGTTGGAACGTTGCGGGAGCCGGGGAGATATTTTAATGTGGTTGTATACCACCATTGTTATGTTTATTGATCTACAGACTGCATTCTTTTAAACCTCGATGCACTCTAGGCCTGGATGGTTCGTACATTCGTGGAACGATCACCCCGTCCGAAGTCCGTGGTCGAAGCTGTCATAGTATTAAAGACACTAAGACGGGTGCAATAACGGCGATCCGATCCCGTCTCTGGCGAATCTAGAGGGGTCGTAAGAACCCAGGCCGAATCTGACCGTCTATTTTTAGGGAAACGGGGTGGGTGAATTGACAACCGATGGCTTAAGAGATAATGAGAAGAGATCCCGTCGTCGATTGTTGTTTGACAGACAACACATGTTGTACTGGACGTATGACCATCAGAGGTAATGCCTGAACGTAGGCAAGCATAATTGTTCTGTCATACTGTTTAGGAATATAAAATGGTAATGGAGATTATTGAGGATATGATCTCTACATTACAGGAATTCGCTAATTACTACGGCCCATAGGGGCACCGCCGGAGCTGTTGTTTTGCCATCGGTCCCAGGCAACTCCAGGGAGCTGCAGTACCCGGCGGCCAAAGCGGCCCACCTCGTCGACTCGCAGGTCCTGTGGGATTCCGTGATGCTTTAGTGTTTCACCCACAGAAGCACGGGCATAGCAGTAGGATGTGGGGCTAGGTGTCTGTCCACCTCTTCATTGAAAGAACAACGTATACAGCGCCTGGTCCCGCCGAAGCTCGGTATCGACCGTGACTTATTCACAACTGGCGGATCCAGGAAGCGGTCTTGGACACTGCGGGGGCTTACCCCAAAAAGGTTTCTCGGAATTAATTAAAAAAAAAAACTCTGATTTCGATTCCTTGCGCACTGCTGTGCAGTGTGATTAACCAACATTTCCTCAGAAAAGTTGTGAAGTTTTCTTTGATTCTCGAAAAGCGATTTCGGGCGCTGCCAATGTGGGGGAAGACATTTGCCCCAAATGCCTTCCCCTGGATCCGCCAGTGGGTTGCCCCACTCCGAGCTTGACTAAAACCATTTTCAAACCCCACCAGAAACCGATGGTAAGGTGAATTTAAATCCAATAACTCATCTCTGTCTGCCCGCCTAAATATGTATACAACACATGGTATGGCACCCGGCCCTGTCTGAGCTATGAGCCGATCGCGATATTTTCGGCTTTCCCCAAACCAAGCTCGATTAGGAACGTTCTCCTTCCCCACCCGATTGCTGATGTCAATTCAAATTCAATACCTCATCTCTGTCGGCCCGACCATAACCCATTCATTGCACACCGTTCAGCGCCCCGCCCCGCCAGAAGTATCCTAGCGCGCTGAGCAGTTGCCTCCAGCCGCGTCATCGCGAGGCCCCGCGCGGCCCATAAATTAATACATTGCGCGAATAGCCGTGTCGCCCCCCTGAACCGACCCCTTAGGGATGATTCAGAGCATCCAAGAGCGAAACATCCAAAACTGCAACATCCGGAGGGCTGTTCACGGACCCTGTGTGCGGTCGGACCGCACACAGCCTCCAAGCTCCGCCCACTGCGTCCCTACGTCAGCCTTGCGTCACCGCACATAGCGACCGCTGTGGCCGGTCGGGACTGGCCACAGCGGACCGTCCACCGCACGCAGCCGTGACGTCAGAGCCGCCTACCCATCCCCTACCCCCACGCCTGCTGGACGTACCGCACACACCGCACGCAGCAGTGTGCGGTGCCCGTGAACACCCCTCAGGACCACAGCATCCAAAATCGTATCATCCAAATTGGCAGCAACCAAGGACGAGGAATTGCAGCATCTAAGAGTGAAACATCCAAGGGTGCAGCATCCAAAACCGTATCATCCAAAAAACATTTTTGGCACCGCAGCATCCAAAACCGTATCATCCAAAATAGTGACATCTGTTGTACAAGCTGTAAACTATTAGTTCAATGGCTGTCCGATAGGTGGTGGCACGTACGGTTCATAAGTGACGGAATTGTATGACATCACTGAGTCTCTATACAGTGGCATCCCTATAATGACCTTACATCCTCAAGACGGAGGTGCGTAGCTGCTGGTAGCGACATCGCTGCGATACCACTACAAACCTGACATATGACATGAAGACGCATTGCAGCGTATCCAAGCGCGGCACGTATGTAGGTAGGCTGAAGTGTCGATAATGGAGACCGATACCGAAAGTGGGTTTATTAATTGCCATTTGTTTTCACACCAGAAGTGCCTAATAAGTCGTGAAGAGTCCACTATCCCCGTAACCAAGCCTCCGCAAGGATCTTCATCTCACCGTCAGATCGCGCTTATCATCGTCAGCTCCTCCCGTTCCTTCACAGTTAACCTTTTTCCTGTCCTATGTGATATATTCCATGTTCCAGAGGGCAAAAAATATAAAAATAGCCGTTTGTACCAGGGGTGCGGAGCCGGAGCCGGAGCAGCCGGAGCCGGCATATTTTGCCCGGAGCCGGAGCCGAAGCCGTAAAACAATATAGCCCGGAGCCGGAACCGGAGCCGGAGCCGTCAAAAAAGGGGTGACTCCGGCTCTTTTTTTTAAGAAGAAAAAATTATTGACCTAGTTCGGTTTGACAGTACAAGGCCATGTGGTATTCACTATTCAAATTAGCCTTGTTATGCAAATACAGAGGCAACGTGTACCAATCCAATTTCAATCGCCCTTTCTCTTCCACCCGTAGGTATTTAATTAATCGCATAGGGGATGTACCTACTGAGAAGGAGCCGGAGCCGCCGGAGCCGGACCATTTTACTCGGAGCCGGAGCCGGAGCCGGACCGTCTGAAATTTCCACGGCTCCGCATCCCTGGTTTATACGAAAAAAAAGTTTTAGGTAACAGATTTTGACTGAAGTGAGCCACGACATTACTTTTACCAGCAACGTGTTCCCCTCGTCGAGTCGCGTCGAATGAAATTCGGACTTCTAAGGTCATTTGGAAAATTTGACCTCGGGTCAGGGCATGGCCTGACCGGAAAGGGTCATGCTGCATATCAGTTGATCCGTATCGCCGAGTTGAACACATCTGACATGTTTTTACCGCTCTAGCACGTCTGTCGTCTCTTATATCAATTCAAAAGAAATAGTTTAAAAAAACTGCTGGTGACCCTTCATGACCTGAGATAACCTCAGGGTCACACAAAGGGGTAACGGGTGCAATATTCGGGTGTGTCATGTTTTCCAATAAACCGATGTTTGATAGTGTTTATAGATAGCATGGGCGTCGAAAGCGGGGGGACGGGGGACCCCCCCCCCGCCGGCAGTCGATGAATCCGGGGGGGACGTCCCCTAAAAAAATCGGCCATAAAGGATTTCAAAAGTGACTATTTGCAACGGTCATTCAATATGGAGTCATGTAAACAGAAATAAACCATTTTTAAAAGAATACCTACTGATGCTGGTCAGTTCGACGGTACAACTGAGAACTCAGACACTTCAGCGGCTCAGGAACAGCCCACCGCTAAAGTAATGTAGGGTTTTACCAATCTCAACGGTTGGCTTTGACTGGCGATTGTTTAATGCGGAGTGATCGAAAAGAAGATGTCAATAGCTAAAGTTGCAGCTGCAAGGGTGACGATACATATACCTAAGCTACATTCAAAGTTTCATTGTAGTCTGGCTAATCGTTCCTAAGCTTCATAAGCAGAACATACCCATGACTGAAACCCCACATTACTTCTGCTGTGGACTGTACACCCACCAAAGGCTGAAGTTCGGTCCTCTGGGTGGGGTGACAGCTGCATAAGCCACACATTCGAATATTCACAATACTCAAGCAAGACCCCCACTTCTAAACGGCCATCCTCCCGTGCTAGGCAAAACGACAGCCGAAGGGGCTCACCAGTTCACCATGACCTTAGAGTACCTGATGCTGGTGTGAGAGGTCAGAGGACCACGCCACGGTCTGGGATTTTTTTTATTGGGTTAGGACTTTTCGGTCTGACGAGACCATTTCAGAGCCGGAAGGAGATGGGAATTAGGGGGAGGGCGAGGGGGGACATTTGGTCTGGGCGAGCACCCTGATGAGTCGACGAGGCTGAGCCCGTCCAGAGGGCAGGCCGACCAGCACCCCAAGCACACACCAGTCACCGCACCCGGTTACGGTCGTGCTCTTATCGGGGTTCCCGCATGGGATAAAGTTGCCCGTCCAGCCCGGAACAATGAGTTGAGGCGTGGAGGAGAGGGATTTGACTATCCTGAGGATAGAAATGACGGAACGGTGTGTGGTATGAGAGGGTCCAGGAGGTTTGAATACTCAGTGCGGGCCTATATTGGTCTGACCTCTTTACTGATACAACCACCGTCCACCAGTCACAACGGTCAACAGAACCTACAGCTCTTATCCCACCTGCCCACGATCGGCTAAAACGGCTTCATAAATTTCGACTAGCCAGTTAAGAGCAATGAGCATGACTTCAAGCCAGAGAATGTCGACTCTGACTTCGGAGTCGAAGTACAAACGACTTCGGTGACTCCAGCTCCGACTCTGGCCAGAGCTGTCAAGTCAAGCTGACGAGCTGTCAATCTCCGGCTCCGATCCCGCAGTCCTGCACTTGC